CTTGACAGTCACACCAAGACCTGCAACTTCTGTCTCAATGCTATCAATGTACAAAAACTCCGATGCGCTCGAAATGTGTTTCCAGAGATTTCAAAGTGCTAAAAAAGGAGTAAAAAGGAGGTCACAAAAGACGAGGTAAAAACATACGTTGGACGTAAGGGGTGAGCAAGTAATGTAGTGTGCGTATGCCTCGATATTCTCTTCAACAAATGCATGGAAACCAGCTGACAAAAATTGTCAGATCAACAAAATTAATTTTTGTTGGTCAGATATAGTCATGAGATGTGGCGGTGCTGGCATTACTGACTCCTTAGCAATCTCTGGGCTGTATTACAAGCATTGATCCATTGACAAGATTCGGCTTGATATATTACACCTGTTCGTAAATATGTCAAATTGGCAAAACTCCATACTTGTGCGGGATCGTCTTCGTCTTCGTTTTCAGTGTCGTGTGGAAGAGCAGCAACAGCAGCCACACCGTACTCGTAATGTCCCATCGTGACGACGTCTTTGACGCGTAGAGAATCAACAGCATATGCAGGGACAGCTTTCCTGTTTGTCAAGTCAAGAGAGACATTGCGAGATCGTGTCCATGCACTCGTTCGCAACGTTTGTCGTAGTAAATAGAACTCGAGGTTCTACAAAAAAGCCGAAATGTTCTCCAACCCTGTGTTACACGAGAAAAATCTGAATAGCTGTGACGCAGCGCGGTCCTGGAGTTACGAAGACGTCTATAAAGTGTATGTCGCCCCTGAGCTGTGCATGTGAGGTCCTGGAGTACATGGAAACCTACAAGCGTGTGAGCGTGTCACTACGTGATTGACTCAAGGTTGACTATTAAAGAGAGTTTGGCTGACAGATATGTGATAAAGTTTTCCGGACCGGAGTGTCTGAAGCAGCCAACGCAATTGAAGGATCATATCCACGTGTCTCTTGGTGGTAGGATGTGACTTAACGATGCTTACTGCATTTGAACCAGGGCAATAAAGGTATTGATGGGGAAACACCAAGATCCTCTCAATGTAAACGCATACCACTGCGCTCTGTATCCGTTTACAGGTGTATCCGTTTACAGGTACCCGGAGTGCTGATAGGAGGAGTGAAAAGAAGAGTCGATTCCGAAAGATTGCGGATGATGAGGAAACATACACTGGGGTACCACCAGTGAGTGAGAGATGTATCGTATTTTCGCTTTAACACGGTCACTTCCAGTCAACCTTTCTATTTTCTTGCCGCCTGTGAAGCTGAACTCTAACAAGTTATCATAGACACGGCCGGTCCGTATAGTACGGTAGTCATCATCAAAGCAAGTTCCCTTCTGACGGCAAAGGAAGAAATATCCATTTTTGCCGCGAGGTCGGAGGTGACCGGTGACCGGTGAGGGTTGGCACGTGACACGTAATTGTCGTGTCACTGAGATTGAACTGAGACTCTACATACTCAGTTTGGATTGGAATTTTGAAACAGGAGATCTTGATGGTTTTGCTCTTCAGTCACTTGGTACGAATCAATCTTCTCTCTTTTCGCCATTGCCAAGCCTTGCATACTCTGCGCAAAGGTAACCAGAACCGGGGACCATGGGGCAGTAGTTGACTATCACGCCCGCTTCGCATATGCTTGCGGGTGGTGCTCGGTTCAATTCTGGGTGTGTCCACTAGCTATACTAGAGGTCGACGTAAAAGCGGGTATCTTTTTCAAGTTATGTTTACCAGAGCTATATCTGACTCAATGAAATATCCGCCTTTTGCTGATGTATTCTTCATGGAAGCACAGGAGCGACTCGCCAGCCCTAACGATAAAGCAATCGTTGCGGAAACCTCTCACAACTCAATGACGTCCCTTGCTCTCTACACATGATCAACTCCTCGCCCAAAAGTTCCAACTCCTTCAATCGACCTTCCTCGTTATAGATGCATAATTGTTGTAGTTTCGACATCATTGACTGAAACTGCTGTGCCCGAGTCTCTTGTGCCTTTCTCGCTCGGTCGTTTCTTTCCGCTTCGTTTTTGTCGAAATCGTCTTCTCGTTTCCGTTCATTGGCCTGAAATTCGAGCTCACGTTGCTCCTGGACCCGCTCAAATTCGGATTCGCGCAGATCCTCAGCCTCGTCAAAGAGTTCCTTGCGATTCTGCTGGATCTTCCCAAACTCGGCCTCGCGTTTTGCTTCGTTGATTGTGAAAGTGTAATTCCGTTCTTTTGCACCTTTCTGAAATAATTGGGCTCTCAGTTCCTGCGAACACTCAAACATCTCCTGCATTTTCATCGAGACAACAAAGCGTCCTTGTCGTTTGTGCATGTCGCTTTCGACATTGTCTGTGACCTTGGGTATCGGAAGTGCTTTATGGATAAGTGGACCTCGAAGTATCACACCGGGTGCCTGTGCCTCTCTTCAGTGTCTTTGAAGAAGGCTACAGTGAATGTATTATACGACTCACAAAACCTGTAGCAGGATATCTAATGACAAGCTAAGTGTTAGTGGGTTTCACATGGAAAAGTCTGGGCCAAATACCGTTCTTCATCATCTTCAATCGCCTGATGTTATACGTTGATTAAGTTGGATGACTTCACACATGAAAAGCATCTGCTCTTACCATTCGCCAATCATGGGCTTTCCTATGTCGCATATACCCGAGCCAAACAAGTTGATCTTTTGTTTGTTGATCAAGTTGGATGGCTTGGCGTTCGTATAACGCCAGCAGCATATCCTCTCGATGCTTGAAGTGAATCTCTTCTAAATCCTCCTCCGCATAAGTTTGATCCATAATATGTCTCATTGACATTTCGAACACGAAAAGACGGTGACTTGCAGCTTCCCGAAAGGCAGTTGAACGCCGGATCTCCTGAAAGCGCTCTTCTTCCCGGCCATGGATCTGCTCTGTCTGTGATTTTGTCGACCACTGCTTCATTTTTTTACCGAATGTAGTGCTGCGTTTTGATTCCTCAGCATTCCGTGCAGCTTCTGATGCATTAAATCGGTGAGTTCTTTTGCCTTCATCTTGCAAGAAAGTGTCTTGCCGCCGCTCTTGAGAGCGCATAAAATTCAGTTCTAATTTGTCCTCTTCAACCCCGTCTGATTGAGTGCTCCCCTCTTGCTCCGGTTCATCATTGGAATCAGGAGACGTCGGCTGCGTCGAGGAAGTGAGGCTCTCAGGATTAGGCGTGGAAGACGGAAAGAGACTCATTGATGGAGATGGAGAGTGAGAAATCCGTCTATCCTGATGATCATTAGATTCGGTGGATGTTGGCTGTGAAGGGGAATCATCTTTTGCGTGAGGTGAGGAAGATGGACTCTTTGATGAAGATGGCAACGAAGTAACTAATTGTGGAATCATAGGCCCCGAGCTTCCATCAGAATATTGACCGTCCCCAAAGCTCACAGTGTCCTGGTTGTTCGGCTGTTCCTTGGAAACTTCCCCCATCTCTTTCTCCCTCTCCATGAGTCTGTTGAATTGTTCCACCAGAGCAGCGTTGAGAGCATCGCATTTTTCTGCCAATTTCTGACGACCGTCTCTGAAGAATTCCCTTCGTGTTGTACTATACCACTCCATTCGCTCGCTACGCATCTCCTGCTCGATTTTGTAAGCGTATGCACGATTTTGCTGCCCCTGTACAAAGATCGCCTCTCGTGCAGCATCAGCTTCTCGAATTCTCTCTTTTTGAAGTGCGTCAGTTCTCTCGTAAAGTTCTAGTCGCCGTAGGTGATTTTTCATGAAGATATCGTGAAATTCCGTCATTGTACGATTGAATACGTCCAGTCGTCCATGCTCTCCCACTGACCGGGCCATCTCCTCTTCTTCAAACTTGAGCTGGAAATCACGCAGGCTCTCCTGGAAGGTGTCGTTCCACTGTGCTTCCTCAGAGAGCATAAGTTCTTTTTCATACTCGTTTTCTGAAATGGCGTGTGGTGCAGGATCATTGTGGCTAATGTTTTGCCGGGAGAAGAGGCGACTATTGACTGTCAGAACAGGAATAAGTCAGCCCATGGAATGACAAACCTTGTCAATCGTTGCATGGGTCTCATTGTGTCCTTACGTGGTGATTTGCCAGATAGTAGTGGGGTGTATCATCAATCGATTTTTTTTATTTTTATAGCATGTTCACTCCTGGCTGTTTGTGACTCGGAATTTCTTCAGCTGTCTGATTTCTGTCATAACGTGTCATCTGTGATTTCTAATACAGCTGTATAGTACAGCACACACAGCCTTAGGTGAGTAAACGCTCAGAGCCACAATGAGCTGAAGCCGACTTTAAATTCTCCTTTTTCGCCAGTGTCCAAACGGCTAGGAGTAATAACTATATATACTACAGGTCAGAAAAAATGGCACTTTGGTGGACCTCGACTCGATAACACTTTTCTTGTTCTCGTTTTCTCTCAAGCCTTAATTTACCCACACCTAATCAACCTCTGTCAAGAATGACGTTAAGCAGCATGGCGCAGTCGGAACCGAGCGGGGCCATATGGTTCGATGATGCTGAATCCTTCAACCCCGAGATCACTTGATCAAAACAGATTGAGCTGCTACACCAAGGAGCAGGGAAATAAATCTCTCACCACCAGGAGGTACTCGCCTCGCCAGTCCAAGGACATCGTCTTTCAAGTGCCTCTTGTCCTCCTCATGGACGGAGACTTGTGTGGCCATAGATACCAAATAGGATCAATACAAGTCCTGGGTCTGCGCAGCTCAGGGATACAAAACAAGGTCGACTGAACTCCAGCAAAATATAAGTCCCGAGTAAGTATGAGATTTGATGTAATGCTGGAAACCTTCATGGCGCGTAGCTAGTGACAATCCCGTACAAATCTATCACTTTCTAATGATGCAAGCTACCTTGATTACGACGAAGATTCTCGCTCTTCGAGCTCAACGGTTCACCTTGATACCTAAGGCGTCACACTCAGCAATACAAACGCCAAAGGTGAGCTTGACAACACCAGGACCAGCTCGGTCGGCTCTCCGTACCCACGTAGTATTGAGTTTAATTGTTGCTAATTCCAATATGGGCACATGGTGTAGTTGGTTATCACGCCCGCTTAGCATTCCGCATCTGCGGGCGGTCCCCGGTTCAATTCCGGGTGTGTCCATGATTTTCAACCCATTTGACAAGAATACTTATTTGCCATGCGCGCGGAGTATCATTTTCCTTGAAATGAAAAACTACATAGATATCGACGTTCGGAGTGTACAACCAAACACAGTCCCAGTGATTGAAAGAACAAGAAGACGAAGGTATGCTGCTGCTACCCACGATAGCCCGGCGCAAACGGGTACGCCGCGGTCCCAAAGGGGCTCGTCGCGGGTGCGCGCGGGGCAAAAGTGGAGGCTGGGACTGGGGCGCGCGCGCGTATCTCGGCAGAGGAGAGGTCGCGGCCTGCGCCTGCGTGTATGTACGCGACGCGGAGTTCCTGTGGGCGTCGTTAGTACGGCCAGGCGCGCGATCCAGAGGGCACACCTCGAGGCTGTGGGCGGCGTATTCGGGCTGTGCGGAGATTGTGAGGAGATGGTCCGTGCACGGGTCCGCGGCGGGCGCGGGCGCGCGTGCGATGGGTGCTACGACGAACGGGGCGGGGTCGATGGGTGTTGGCGGGTGTTTGTGTCCGCGGAGGTAGGCGTGTACGCGGAGTTCCTGTGGAATCGTCAGTGGTGGGTCAGTCGGTCAGCAAGGGCGGACCTCGAGACTGAAGAAGCTGTAGAGGGGCATTGCGGTGAGTGTGTGGAGGTATATCGACTCGACGTTGGTCGGGGCGAACTGTTGTGTGGCGGGGAGGGCTGCGAGGTCGCGCGTCACGGGGGCTGCTGGGGCGGGGGGGCCGGCGGGGACGCGTGCCGTGGGTGATGCTGGGGTGGGCGCGGGCTCGAGGAGGGGCTCGAAGAGCGGGGGGAGGCCTGCGCGTTTGCGGGCTGCGGCGTCTGGGGGGAGCGCAGCGGGGGGCCGCCCGGTGGTGGAGTACGCGCGGACGTAGTCGTCGATGCGGATTTCCTGGAAAACATACGAGTTCTCAAAAAGGCAGGCGGAGAGAGGAGGCTTGCCTCGAAGCTTTTTGGGTCAAAGGCGACGGACATGAACCGGTCCATTTGAAAGGTTCCCACGGCGACTCTAATGACAATGACATATGATCGACTCCCGCAGGAGATTTTGGAACTTATACTGGACGAGGTGTCGTCTGCGCTGACTCCTGCGCTGCTCAACTGTAGTCTAGCCTGCTCTGCCTTGCGCGACACTGCACAAAAACGGCTTTTCCACGATGTCTGTATCCATCTCCCCGACACTGGCCATAGCCTGCTCGGCCAGACGCTCGTGGCCAACGCACGCCTGCGCGCCTTTGTGACGACTCTACGCATTGTGCTCGAGCCTGTGCTCCCCAGAACATCATACTGCTCGTTCCCCTCTCTGCCAAACCTGGCCCATCTCAACATCACAGGCGACAATCTCCAGGCCCCGCTGGACTGGTCCTGGACCCTCGGCGAAGACTGGGAGACGTGCAAGCGCGATGTCTTCAGGATGATGTGTCTCCCCACCCTGCGCACGCTGCGCATCTGCAACATCTGCGAGTTCCCCGTCGACGTCCTCGTCGCCTGCGGACAGGTCCAGGAGCTCGACGTCCATGAGAGCTCTGTCGCGCCCGGCGCAGACGACGACCGCGACCTCCTCTGCCCACTGCTGCCCCTGCCCGGCCCACGGGCGTCACTCCAGGGTCTGTGCTTTTCCTATTATACGTTTCCGCTGCTCGTCGAGGCGCTCAGGTCGCGCCCCGCGTCGCGCATGTCCATCGCGCGCCTGGAGACACTCTGCCTGAGCATTTTTGACCGCGACACCGAACAGGCCGCGCGCGAGGTGCTCAGCACCGCCGCCGCGTCTCTGCGGCACCTGGAGCTCTGCTTCGAGCCCTGTGTGTGCTTTTTTTTTCTTCCTTGACGCTTATTGATCGCATCAAGTCTTCCAAGTGTCCTGGGACACGCTGGGGCTGCCCGATCCCAGCATATTGCGGCAGGTCACGTTCTACATCACCGAGTGGGACGACTACGGGAACATGAACGCGTTCCTCGAGCAGATGCCGCGGGCGAGCAACAACCTCGCGGGGGTGGTGGTGCACCTGCAGTGCGAGTGCGCGTGTGCAGAGGGCGCGTGGAGACGGCTCGAGGAGCTGCTGGGCGCTGCGCGGCTCGAGGTGCGCGTCGAGGACGAGTGGTGTGCCGACTTTGCGCGGCTACTGCCCCGGCTGGCAGGGACAGGACGGCTTGTAGTTTGTGTAGAATGAAGGTTGTAGTTACTGCAGAATGAGAATATATGTTTTTTTTTGTTCAGGTCACGGGACCTGAACCCAAGTTCTTGCGCCATCATGTCTGGATTGAAGAACTCGCCATTTGGGAAACGGCTAAGGGCTGCCCACGACGACCGCGCCACCGTGCGCCCCCCGCCGACGCCGCCGACGACAGCGCCCGACTATGGCGACCGCTTCGTGCCGTCGCGCGACGGGGGGAACATGCGGACGTCGTACCATCTGCTGGACGACAGCGGGCCCTCGACGCCGGCCAAGGCGCGGCTGATACCATGCGAGTCTGACGCGCTGCGAGGTGAGTGCTGTGTTGTGTGGCGCAGTGTGCGTGGCTGACGTGTGCAGAACAAGCGAATGCGATCTTTACCTCTATCCTCCACAGCGAAGTTACGCCACCGTCGCCACGCCGCCCCGTCTCCCCCACCCGTCCCGCCGCCTCGACGTCCGCCGTGCCCCCGTCGACGCCCACCCGCCGCCGCCTCTTCGCCTATGCGTCGCCTGCGTCGGTGCCCACGACGCCCACGCGCCGCCTCGACACGCCGACCGACGAGGCGTACTCAATGAGCCCCGTCCGCCCAGAGAGCCGCCGTCTCCTCGAGAGCACCCGGCGCAGCCTCCGCAGCGTCTCCAAGACGCCGTACCGCGTCCTCGACGCCCCCGAGCTCGCCGACGACTTCTATCTCAACCTCGTCGACTGGTCCTCGACCAACGTCCTCGCCGTCGGCCTCGTATCGTGCGTCTACCTCTGGACCGCGCACAACGCCGCCGTCTCCAAGCTCTGCGACCTCGCCGACCACAACGACACCGTCTCCTCCGTCTCCTGGGTCCAGCGCGGCACCACCCTCGCCGTCGGCACACTCTCCGGCCGCATGCACATCTACGACGCCGCCACACTCTCCCTCCAGCGCACCTACGACGCCGCACACGCACAGCGCATCGGCGCGCTCGCGTGGAACGCACACGTACTCTCCTCCGGCTCGCGCGACCGCAGCGTGCACCACCGCGACGTCCGCGAGCCCGCACAGCGCCCGTTCCGCCGTTGTGCCGGCCACAGACAGGAGGTCTGCGGCCTCAAGTGGAGTGCTGACGCTGGCCCCGCGGCTGCTACGCTCGCGAGCGGCGGCAACGACAACAAGGTGTGCATCTGGGACCTCCGTGGTTCGCGCCGCCCGCCCCCGCGTCCACCGGCGGCTTCGGGCGCTGACGATGCACCTGGTGATGCGCCGTTGTGGAAGTTTCATGAGCATACGGCGGCGGTCAAGGCGCTTGCGTGGGACCCGCATGTGTCTGGTGTCCTCGCGACCGGCGGGGGCAC